TCGTAGGCCTTTTTGTGATCAATTTCACAATTTCAATTTCGGTTCTTTTTTGTTAATGTAAAGCACTGTATAAAGTTAAACAATAATTGTCTTACCTTTATTAATCGTCAACAAGCACGAATGTACATCTGTTCTTATCGATGATCAAGTTATATGAAGTAAATTGTACTGTCCTTCTGATATTTCTTGTGTTTTATGTGATCAACAGTTAGCGTCTTTTATTTATAGCAGGCCTAGGGGAACGTTATGATTTAAAACAGATCATGCGACTATTTTCAGTCACAGGACTTGTCATGGGAGAGTGCGGTCACAAGACTTCGGCCGTTACATATTACAGGATTTAAACCTGTAGTATGGCACTACAAGAGTTAATAGCAATTATCGAACATCTATGTTTCAGATCTATGGTAAATATGGTGCTTAGATTTCAGTTAGTAAATGCCCTATAATATTCAGCAAAATTTATGCGACATTTGATTGCTAGTTAAATCTGGCCATAATAATAGTTATCATAGCAGTTTTTTATTCAAATAAAGGATTAGAATACATTTAATACGATCCCAGTTACATTTAATTAGCGAACGCTTGCCATCGCGTAGAGGGACTCCGTGTTAAGTATGTGAGTTATGGAATTATTTGTCTTAATAATATTATGTCTAGAGTTATGTAAAGATTGCCTTTATCCCTTTTAGGTGAGTTACGCCTAATGTATACTGCTTAAAATGACGTAGCCGGCGTACAAAAAAATCGGAAACATCCACATATACGTCACACCGTTCTATAAGTCGCAGGGCCAAAATTTCGGAAAAAAAGTAGCGACTTATAGTCCAAAAAGTATGGTACGTCTTGTAAGCTGAAACACTGATTCATTTACAGACTCACTCCCCAATCAGTGCAGGAAAGGTTTCATAAAGATGAACAGGCAAGCAATGGCAACAACTCAAGGGTTTAGGTCAATTCAACGTTAAAGAAGTTAAAGTCACTGTGCATTAAAACCAAAAACATTTTTCACAGAAATATTTGCACAGAGGAACTACTAAGTTACAACAAAAATGGGATAAAATGTTTTAATTAGGATTAATAAAATGACAAATCACCCTACTATAGAACATGTGTAGGCATGAGACATAGCAGGCCATGATCTCTACACTGTATACACGTAAAAGAATTACTCACTTGCTGGTCTTCAATCATAACATAATTAAAATAAAAAATAATCATGAATTCATAATTAAAGGAATAGAGAAACCAGGAAAAATCAGTAAACCAGTGTAGGAAAGTCAATTTTATAATGTAACAAAAAGGTACATGATGAACATTATTATTCATAAGGAAATGAAGATGGTGAGAGAAATTAAATGAAGTTACAGGGAAAATGACAAACAACAGAAAAGTTATGATCTTGAAGTTATTTTTCTAAATCTCGGAATAGCATTTTGCTGAATTAAACATTTCAAAGCGTTTATAGAAAAAATAGTAACAGGATTTTTTTCTAAATTAAAAATATTCTATAATGTATTCCTCCGCATACCATAATGATTGTCATTCAAAAAATAACTGAGATCTGAACATCATCTTTAATCATAACTGTTGTCAATATTTGTCAGAACTCACCATTATGTAGAGGATGTCCTTCATAAAGATGAACAGGTGAGCCATGGAAAAACAAGGATTTTGGGACAATTTAACATTGTGGGGATATAAGCCAAAAACATTTATGATGGAAATAATTTCACTAAAGAGTTAAGTGAGAACAACAATGGAATAAAAAGGTGGCAGAACGTTTCTAAGGAAAGTCTCTCGATTTTGTGATTTTAGAATCAGATTGTCTAGAGCAGTGGTTCTCAACCTTTTTGCAGTGACCCAACTTTTACCATGCCATCTCAGTTGCGACCCTATATCAAGTATAGATCTAAATTAATGCTATGATCGAGCATACAGTGCAATGCACACTAAGAAGTTGCAGAGCCATGTCCCGTTAATATATAGCTGTGGAAAAAATTAAGAGAACAATTTTTTGTTGTACTCATTTCTCAATTTATGAGTGTATGTCTGTGAGTAATATGTATTTTTTTTTCTAAACTGCAGCCTGGCTCTTTCCTGTTTTTCATTAATGACGGGCTTCTTCCTTGCTTTATGAGACTTCAGTCTTGCTTCTAGGAGCCTGATACACACTGTCCTAGCAGTGCACTTCACACCTGTACTTAATGTTTCCCATTCCTTTTGAAGGTCACTTGATGTCATCCTACAATTCATGAGAAATGGTCAGATAAGTAAACAGTCATCTCTGCCATTAGAAAGTTGCTTCTGCCCTTTATCTGGCTGGTTTCTGGTTGTACCCAGTGTCTCCTGCTTCACTGTATTCTTGTGTACTGCTGTCTTAGAAATTTTTAACCTGGAAACAACCTGCTGCTCAGCATAGCCTTCTGCCAGCAAAACCACAATTAAACCAGAATTAAGAATGCAGATTTGTTTTAAAATATAGAGTGGTCTCTTTATTTTATCCACGGCTGTAGGTTAATTCATGTATTGGGGCTGGGAAATCTGATCGTGGATCAGCATTGGAGCTTGCTGATTTTAAAATGCATACATTTCCAACTCTGCCTCGTGACCCTTTTCAAATTTGGGTCGCATCCCACAGGTTGAGAATCGCTGGTCTACAGAGTCTGTCTGTTGGGATGCCCCACTGGTACAGTTTGAAGTCTGCTGCTACACTCCCTACCAAACTGGGTAATTCTGCTTCCATGCTACACATCATCAGTGTCATCCAGCAAAACTGTGCACATCGGCCACATCCTCAACACTGTAATACATAATTCATAGAAATAATTCAATGTCATTACACAAGACCATACAAGAATCAATATATACTCAACTGAAGTGTTTTTGCATTAAAATAATGAGTAAATTTTTCAATATACTAGTTAATCCAGAAGAACTGAGGAATCACCCTTGAATTAAACATTACAGAAAATGCAGAAAGAATTTCATAGAAAAAATCACAACAAATCATAGCCAAAAAGCCACAAGTTCTCTGATAAGGGTCTATTTCCCTTTTCTTGGAATATTATATACATATTAAAGAGAGGATGGATCCTGCTTCATCTCCGGCAGTATACAGTATAGTCTTTATGAGAAATCTGTCTGATTAACATTATTCTGCCCTTTTTCCATTATTTCTTATGGGGAAAATTCGATCACAGCTCGAACTTTTTAGGATTCGATCCGAAGTTCTGAACGGATTAAATTCGAGTTCTGAGGTACCACTGTATACTGTATAAAACATATAAACACACTCACCTGGTAGTCCTTAATCATGAGGTAGGGTAGGTGATTCATTGCAGCAAGAGAGAGAGAATTAAGTGAAACTTCAGAACTGAGTCAACAAAATGGACACTTGAGCACTCAGTTATAATGATGGACTGTTACATAAACAAAAAATGGGCCATGGTGAAAACAGAACAGTTAACACAGAACAAGAATTCATGGAGAAACACTCACAGCCAAAAATGGATTCACAATAAAGTTAAGCATACACAATGTTTTCATTAAGATTAAAATAAAATAAATCGCCCTTCTTTTGAACATGCTGTAGTAATGGGAAAAAGGGAACCGATCTTATATTTATAAATAAATAATGAAATAAATAATAAATAAATTATTATTTATATTTATAAATAAATAACCTATATTTATTAAATGACCACATACCTGCAGCTCCTTAATCATGACGTAGAGATGAATGATTGCAAAGAACAGAAAGACATGCTAAGTTAAATATGAGAACTTAGTGACACAAAGGGAACAATTAAATTTAAAAGTGAAAATCACAAATGTTATAAAAAGGAGTGGAGTTTCATTTTTACTGATACAGACCAACTGGGCTAGTTCAGTAAGAACATACTAGCTGAGATACATTTTTACTAGCCCACAATAAAGAACAACCAAAAGACATCACATCTTTCATTAATAAATTATCTTGTAAAAAAAGTTATTTTCAGTATATCATTTACTCATTTACATAAACAAATTACTCATTCAGAGCACCACATTGTAACACATTCAGTACGTAGCCAAGCCCTACATCATTCAGCTGTCCAAAAATGCTCCGATTTTCACATCCTTGTGTTTTTTTTAACATTAGGACATTTTGGTGATGCATTAAATCAAATTGAATTTTTCAGTGTCTTGATCTAGCATGTCTCTATTAATTATTTGTTCTGAAAAATTAAAAATCAGGGCTGTTGAACGATTCATATTTTTAAAAAATTGTGATTAATTGCATATGTAACACCATCAAAAAAGATTTTATAGTGTGAATATTTGGTCCAGAAATGAATTTATTTATTTCACACAGAAGTTCCAAAATAAAAAAATTAATAAATGACAGTTATATCAGTTTCCCCATGAGACGGTGAGAGAATTTTCATTTGTTATTTACAACTATAGAACTTTTCTAAAAAATCTTTGCTCATATTATTTTCCTATTTGAGTCTCAAAATATTAAATGCATTGATGCAACAAGAAAAATTATAATGCATTATGACTTCAATGCTAACACGTTAACTTTGATAGCCCTATATGTATTTCTTAATACCCAGCAGGGTGGTGTGCAGTGTTTTGTATTCACCCTCCATCTACTGTACATTACTTGCCCACTGGCTAATGAGCAAGCTTAATTTCCAGTCCTGATTATACAGGAAAAGGAGTGATATGTAAAGGAGTATTATACACCAACAGCCATTATTTTATGAAAAGGACTCTTTGTCACATCAGTCATTTAAAAGCTATATTTTTTGAAAGCATAATAAAACCTAATGTGATTGTTCTCATGATTTAGTAAATAAAATGTAAAATATTTTCTCAGAAAGTTTGTCAAGTGAAGTGAATGAAATTAAAATACATCTTCTAAGTTGATACACTGATTCCTTTATGGACTCACTCACCAATCAGTGCAGGAAAGGCTTCATAAAGATGAACAGGTGATGAACAGGTGAGCCATGGCAACAACATAAGAAATTTGGGTCAATTCAACATTAAATAAAAGTTAAACAGTCACTGTTAATTCTCCCAAGCACTTTTTTCACTTGAGCATATTCTCTCATTGATTTAGCATAGGGTTTTCGCACATTTAGGCTAGATACTTGCTCTGGGGTCTCTTCTCCCATCAGGAGGCTAAAGCCTAATTCGTACTTCACTTTTCCTCAAGCGCTTTCAGGCCACACATGGCCATGTGCGAGGAATCTTGTGTTCACACTATATTTGCCCGCGAGTACCTCAGCATCTCCTCATGCAGTTGTTCACCATAAATACTACTACAACAACTATTCTTCTACTGTTTCTTGGTTGACTGCTGTTCTATTGAACCTGAAAAATTAGGCGCGGACATGCAAGAGGCATAATTAATTAATCAAACAAGAAAAGGCGGTTAAACCCTCAGTGATTTTGGCAACAAACAAAATGTGGAAGATAGACTATATAAGCCCTTTAGTTTTGAAAATTAAAGCCTGGCAGTGGCTTACTATGATTATATTTGGAAATTTTCTCAAACCTGAGAATCATTCTACAAAAACAAAATGTAAAATGTAAGAACAACAGTGTTTGAATTTTGTGCAGAAATTACCTTAACTAACTGGATATATTACAATTATGTAATTTATAGTTTTGATTTAGTGATCCCTCATAGTAATTTTCCCGAAACAGGCAAAACGTTTGTAGTTGTAAGTCAAAATAACACACAATTAGATAAAAGGTTAAATCTTACAACTTTACTGTAAGTAACCCACAGCAAACAATCAATGAGTACAATTAGATGTACGTTAATTTCTTCAATCACTTTACTCTGCAACTGATTAACTACCCCAAAGACAAAATCAACATTTCGGACAATAATACAGTGGTACCTCAAAACTCGAACTTAATCCATTCAGAACTCCGGATCGAATCCTAAAAAGTTTGAGATCTGATCGAATTTTCCCCATAAGAAATAATGGAAAACCAATTAATTGGTTCTTGGCCCCAAAAACTTACACCTAAATATGTTTTTTTTCTTTTTTTTAGCATTTAAACACAAAATGAACCGGATAAAACAAGAAGAGCATATACTGTACTAAACACATCTAAGCACATTTATCAAAACAGTAATTTGTAAAGTAAGAAAATAAATGTATCCAAACAATGTGTAAAGTGCCATGTGACTCATTTCCCCGCGCGTACAAGTTATCTTAGGTCGGCGTTCACGGTTTGACTTCTGAGATTCAGATCGAGCTCTAGGTAATTTTTTTTCGAACTGATTGGTTCGACTTTTAAGAAATTCGTGTTCTAATGAGTTCGAGAAGTGAGGTACCACTGTATAATGTGAGTCCATTGTCAAACTAATTTTAAAAAATAGAGAAAACTCATGTTACGATGAGTTTTTGCGAATGACCCATATTGTGTTTAAGAACAAATCCAAATACTTCTGATTTTTCTCCTTCTACATTCTGAACAATTCTGTAAACAAGCAAATAGGCTTGTAAGTACATGCCTTACCAACAGATACAGTTTAAATGTAAGTATTAGTAGTAGCATGGACTGAAAGTTTAGAATGCATTGCTGATTAAATAATAATGCAGTGAACTGCATAGTCCAAACAACCTTATATGCTACAGTGTAGGCTGCGATGTAAATTTAACTGAAAGAATTATTTTTTAAATCAACCAGTCATTTAGCCTAATTGATTCACTTACTGGGCCTGTTGACAAGGCAGATGTCAATTGAATCCTGCCTAATCAATCAATCAATCAATAAATTTTAAAACAACTTCCGTTGACCAAAGTGCTGTACAAGTATAGTATTGGTGTGTGTGTGTGTGTGTATATATATATATATATATATATATATATATATATATATATATATAAATAATGGCAATATACTGTAGTTGTTTATACTTAAATATCACTATATATTATTTCTATATACTTAATTATATTAATTATTCACATGTGTTTTCAATAGCAACATTGGTTTCTACATGTATGATACATGTTAAAAAGTTTCATTTGCAATATTGCGTTGTTTGTTTTACACATGATTTTATACAGGTCTCCACAGCAAATACTGAAAAGTTCATTTATGTCAGTGGCAGAATTCACATGAGGGTCATTTACTTACGACATGCTATTTTGGTGTTTTTCTGCCCAAAGCGCGTGAATCGCCTAAGTGCACTTAAACCCCAGACTTAAGCTGATGGAAGAATACACTTAAGTGAAAAAAGCGCCCAGCTATGCACTTTGTTCACTTAACTTCAAGGGAGAATAGAATGTTCTGAGTAAATACTGACTCACCTTGAGATCCTTAATCATGTGGGAGGACAGGTGAATCAGTCATGTATTTCAAAATTACTTAATTTGAAATATGGATCATAATAGCACATTGATTTACTGCTGTGATTCACTTGGCTGGCATTACTCTGTAGTTATAAATAATTAATCAACACAATTCAGACCAACACGATTCTAGAAACATTTTTCACTGAAACAATTTCACATAAGAATGAATGCACTATAACAATAACAGGATAAACTTGAGCCAAAAGCAAGTAGATTCCTCATTTTTCACATTATATAAGTATACAATATGTATATATCCTTCCTGTATTCCTACCTGTTTATGTTATATATGTATAAACTGACTCACCTTGAGTTCCTTAATCATGAGGGAGGGCAGGTGAATCATTGCAAATGAGAGAGAGAGAGATTTGCTAAGTTACACATGAGAAATGAGTCATAATTAAATACAAAGTGGACAATGGATATATAATTATTATGGAAAAAATTAATGTAACTGAACAAAATTGGATTGTGGCGAGAACAAAATAGCTAACACAACAGGAATTCACAGAGAAAAACTCCTTTTCTGCACCTTTTTTTTTTGGAGAGATTTATAGTGGCCAAACTCCCACCCCTAGCTTGGTGAAATTTATCATGGGACGTAGACACATTTTTACATATAGAATGATATTCATCAATTTATCTCTGTGAGTAGAAATGTGCATATATTTACGAACACTCCTGACCGTGATCACGCAAATACTCCTCCAACTTACATAGCAATCATGACAAATACAATGATCAAGCTATGTTCACACAAAGTATGTACAGGCAGCTTATGCTCATGACAAGGAATCTTTCCAAAGTCATACAAGGTCCATGGCCCAAGAAATAATATATCACGGTCACTAAATACAGTCTAATACACTGCCTGGCCAAAAAAACACACCACGCAGCTGGTGTGGTCCTGATTTTAACTATTGATGACACATGAGGTGCAGTGATAATTTTCTTGCCTAAGCACCAGAGGGCAAATATTTCAATCGAAGGGTCAGGCATTTGAGTGGCACCGAATTGAGGCACCAAAATCAGTGATGCAGTATGATCTGGTACATACCTATCGTATAGGAACCAGTGCCGTATTGGTACCAGGTCTTGCTACACAACCCTAATCCTTGCTATCAATACACGATACTGTTTTGATTTTGGTGAAATTTGTCTCAAAATTTTATGAAATCCAGACCTTCACCCATACAACATGTATGTGAAGTTTGAAACAGATCTGTCAAATACTGTTAGATTTACTTGGTACACAAGACCAAGTGTCTTCTGCAGACTCCCTTTCTTTGCTTTACTGCCCCACAGCACTGCTGTTTCATTTTTGTGGTAGTTTGTCTCAGAATAAAATCAGGAGTAGATCAGCGTTAATTTTGTTGACGAAAAATTTTCGTCATAGTCATGGTCAACGACCTTTATTTTCAGACAAAAACAAGACGATAACTAAATAAAAAATATTTCGCGACGCCTAAGACTATGACGAAAGTGTATTGACAATTTCGTAAACGAATAAAAACGAGATGAAAATGTTTGCCAGAGACGAGATCCAGTCAGAACTAATGAAGTTCGCGTAAGGCAGGGATCAGTTAGAGAAAATTTCTTGAAGCAAAGGTCTGGAAGATCATAATGTCTAACTATTTAGTGTGATATAGGCCTATATTTAAGTAGCCTATTAGTTGCATCAACATCTACTAAATAAAGGTAGGGCTGCTTTTCAAAATAAGAGAAAATAAATAAAATGTGAAAATTGTGCATGTTTAAATAAAGTGCTTAAGTCGTAAAACCCTAATACAGTCGTGTCTATGTCATATATTTTAGTGTTCATGGATTTAAGAATTGGTTTTCTATAATCCCACACCGGTAATAAAATTAAAGTATCGTTTTAATATAAATACATACGAACTTATCACTTTAATCGCTGTTAGAGTAGGATATGGACAGTCTTATTATTTCGAAAAGATATAAAACGTGACGTGTTTTTTCCATATTCGTTTTATATTTGTCGGAGTAACAATTAACGCAAAGGAATGACGAGCCGTTTCAGGCGAAAACAGTGCATTTTACTTTTCATTTCAAATAAAACGCGGTGTTGCCAACTTCGGCCAGTTGGCTGGAGTGAGATTTTCAATTCGAGATGTCTGCATACAGTACATGTAACAGTTCTTACCTTGTAAATAGTCTGCTTCTGTATTTAACCGTGTAAATACACTTTGGACGTAGATAATTTTAGGTTTATAATGGTATAATATAGATTTGCCATAAGATTTCCTGCGTGAGTCTGAAAGCGTGAGTACAGTATCATGCCAGATTCTTGAGATTTGGCAACCCTGAAAACGTACATTTTTTGTTTCACCTGAGTTGATTTATATAACAAATAACATTACTTTATACAGTTGTTAAAAAGCGGAATCTTCAACAAACATGAAATCACCAATAAACTATGTCTACAAGTATTTATTTTAATATTTCTATTTTAATATTCAGAGAGAGCAGGCCTGGTGGCATTATAGCCTATGCACTTTGAAGTGATTTTACTTTTGCACTAATAACACTACTCATTTTACAGTACTCAGTTTCTGGGTAAATAAGCATAAGTTTGTGTTTCAAATAAGAGTGAAATCCGTGTCTTTGTGTACTGCACAGTCAAACCTTAATACCATCCCTTAACATTGGTTTCATTTCATCTTGGTGAACATAATGACTTCCTGACATCAAAAGGAAACTTTAAAAATTACACTTTACACTTCTAATTTTAGTCGATAAATCAACTGTAGTTTTAGTTGATTGTAATCTTATGATATTTAGTCAACTAAAACTAGACTACAACTAAAATAATTAAGATGACTAAATTATGACTGAAACTAAATTACATTTTAGTCAAAAGACTATGACTAAAACTAAATAAAAATTTGCTGTCAAAATTAACACTGGTCTCTAGTGGTGTTTATTAATGCTACAAATATGTAATCGTGCACAGTAGTAGAGAACACTGGATTTAGTTCATTATAATTGTTGTGATACAGTCTTCTTTTTGAACTTTACATTTTTAAAATGATTTCTTTTTAGGGTGAAAAATTATCCTTTCTTAGGTTTTGTTATTCATCCATCCATCCATACATCCATCCATTTACAGTACTTCCACTTAACCGAGGTTGTGTCGCGGGGGCAGCAGTCTCAGCAGGGAAACCCAGACTTCCCTCTCCCCAGCCACTTCCTCCAGCTCCTCTGGGGGAATCCCGAGGCGTTCCCAGGCCAGCCGAGAGACATAGTCCCTCCAGCGTGTCCTGGGTCTTCCCCGGGGCCTCCTCCCAGTGGGACATGCCCGGAACACCTCACCAGGGAGGCGTCCAGGAGGCATCCTAAGCAGATGCCCGAGCCACCTCATCTGGCTCCTCTCAATGCGGAGGAGCAGCGGCTCTACTCTGAGTCCCTCCCGAATGACCGAGCTCCTCACCCTATCTCTAAGGGAGAGCCCCAGCCACCCTGCGGAGAAAACTCATTTCGGCCGCTTGTACTCGCAATCTCATTCTTTCGGTCACTACCCACAACTCGTGACCATAGGTGAGGGTATAGGAACGTAGACCGATCGGTAAATCGAGAGCTTTGCCTTTTGGCTCAGCTCTTTCTTCACCACGACACACCGATGCAGCACCCGCATCACTGCTGACGCCGCACCAATCCGCCTGTCGATCTCCCGCTCCATCCTTCCCTCACTCGTGAACAAGACCCCAAGATACTTAAACTCCTCCACTTGGGGAAGGACCTCCTCCCCGACCCGGAGAGAGCACTCCACCCTTTTCCGGCTGAGGACCATGGTCTCGGATTTGGAGGTACTGATTTTCATTCCAGCCTCTTCACGCTCGGCTGCGAACTGTTCCAGTGTGAGCCGAAGGTCACGGTCTGATGAGGCCAACAGAACCACATCATCTGCAAAAAGCAGAGACCCAATCCTGAGGTCACCAAACCGGACACCCTCAACACCCTGGCTGCGCCTAGAAATTCTGTCCATAAAGGTTATGAACAGAATCGGTGATAAAGGGCAGCCCTGGCGGAGTCCAACTCTCACCGGGAACAAGTCCGACTTACTGCCGGCAATGCGGACCAAGCTCTGACACCAGTCGTACAGGGACCGAACAGCCCGTATAAGGCAGTCCGGCACCCCATACTCCCGGAGCACTCCCCACAGGACTCCCCGAGGGACGCGGTCAAATGCCTTCTCCAAGTCCACAAAACACATGTAGACTGGTTGGGCAAACTCCCACGCACCCTCCAGGACCCTGCCGAGAGTATAGAGCTGGCCCACTGTTCCACAGCCAGGGCGAAAACCACACTGCTCTTCCTGAATCCGAGGTTCGACTATCCGACGGACCCTCCTCTCCAGCACCCCTGAATAGACCTTACCAGGGAGGCTGAGGAGTGTGATCCCCCTATAGTTGGAACACACCCTCCGGTCCCCCTTCTTGAAGATGGGGACCACCACCCCAATCTGTCAATCCAGGGGCACCGCCTTCGATGTCCACGCGATGTCGCAGATGCGTGTCAAACAAGACAGCCCTGCAACATCCAGAGCCTTGAGGAACTCCGGGCGGATCTCATCCACCCCCGGGGGCCCGGCCACCTAGGAGCTTTTTAACCACCTCAGCGACCTCTGCCTCAGAGATAGGTGAGTCCACCCCCAAGTCCCCAGACTCTGCTTCCTCATTGGAAGGTGTGTCGGTGGGATTGAGGAGGTCTTCGAAGTACTCCTTCCACCGACCCACAACGTCCCGAGTTGAGGTCAGCAGCGCACCATCCCCACCATAAACAGTGTTGATGCTGCACCGCTTTCCCGCCCTGAGACGCCGGATGGTGGACGAGAATCTCCTGGAAGCCGTCCGGAAGTCATTCTCAATAGTCCCCCGCCTCCCCCGGGACATGGTCGAAGTTCTGCCAGAGGTAGGAGTTGAAACTCCCTCTGACGGGATTCTGCCAGATGTTCCCAGCAGACCCGCACTATACGCTTGGGTCTGCCAGGTCTGACCGGCTTCCTCCCCCACCAGCGGAGCCAACCCACCACCAGGTGGTGATCGGTTGACAGCTCCGCCCCTCTCTTTCCTCGAGTGTCCAATACATGCGGCCGCAAGTCCGATGACACAAAGTCGATCATCGAACTGCGGCCTAGGGTGTCCTGGTGCCATGTGCACATATGGACACCCTTATGCTTGAACATGGTGTTCATTATGGACAATCCGTGATGAGCACAGAAATCCAATAACAAAACACCACTCGGGTTCAGATCGGGGGGGTCGTTCCTCCCAATCATGCCCCTCCAGGTCTCACTGTCATTGCCCACGTGAGCACTGAAGTCCCCCAGCAGAACAAGAGAGTCCCAAGGAGGAGTGCTCTCCAACACCCCTTCCAAGGACTCCAAAAAGGGTGGGTATTCTGAACTGCTATTTGGTGCATAAGCACAAACAACAGTCAGAACCCGTCCCCCCAGTCGAAGGTGAAGGGAGGCCACCCTCTCATCCACCGCGGTAAACCCCAACGCACAGGCACCCAGCCAGGGGGCAATAAGTAGGCCCACCCCAGCTCGGTGCCTCTCCCCGTGAGCAACTCCAAAGTGGAAGAGGGTCCAACCCCCTTCAAGGAGACTGGTTCCAGAGCCCAAGCCGTGCGTCAAGGTGAGCCCAACTACATCTAGTCGGAACCTCACAGCCTCGTGCACCAGCTCAGGCTCCTTCACCACCAGAGAGGTGACATTCCATGTCCCTAGAGCTAGCTTCTGCAGGGAAGGATCAGACCGCCAAGGTCCCCACCTTCGGCCACTGCCCAACTTGCACTGCACCCGACCCCTATGGCCCCTCCTACAGGTGGTGAACCCATTGGAGGGGGGACCCACATGCCTTGTTCGGGCTGTGCCCGACCAGGCTCCATGGGTGTAGGCCTGGCCACCAGGCGCTCGCCATCGAGCCCCACCCCCAGGCCTGGCTCCAGGGGGGGGCCCCGGTGACCCGCGTCCGGGCAAGGGAAATCGTGAATCCCTGTTTGTATACATCAAAAGGGTCAGACGAGCCGCACT